TGCACTTTTCAGATACACTAGAGTTGGTATTCCTTTGCTGTACGGGTCTGCTGAGGTCCCTCCTGACTCCCAAATTCTGTGATTGTGGGAGAGAAGGGGCGCCTTGGATGACAGACCCAGATTTCAAAATCATCATTTCCAGAAGCCAAAAGGACCTTGGATATAAACAAATGTTTGTTGAATTGAACCAAATTAAGCTGGAGGGAATCCTCTTGGTGTATTTAGATGGAGGAGCAAGGCCCAGAGAGGGGAGAGATCTTGCTGAGAGTAACACAGCAAGCGTAGAATGTCAAGGGCTTTTCCAGACCTGAATTCAACCTTTTCATTTGACAGAGGAGGAAACCGAGGTCTGTAGAAGCCCAAGGCCTTGTCCGTAGTCACACAAATGACAGGGCTGGAAGCATAGCCACAGACATCTACAGCAATTAGGACAGGCTAGGGCAGATGGTTCCCCAAGGTCCAGTGTTCTGCACCTGGCCCCTCCCCCACTCCAGGCCCCTAATGCTTGAAAGAGGAGTATTTAGGCCAAAACTGAAGTCTGACTTCACACACCAGTAACCTCTCCGAAGCAGGAGAGGCTGGAAGCAGAAATAGCTTCAAAACAGATTCACTGACAGACAACAGACCCAAAGTGGGTTATTAAAGGAGACCGTGCAGGGGCCGGCGCTCCCTTCCTGCCTCTCCCCTGGGCCTGGCTCTGGGCTCCTGGGCCCACGGGACCCCTTCCCACTCCTTGCCCTGGGCCTGGGGTGGCTGAAAGCCCTGGTCTCTGTGTGCAGATGGGCCAGGGGCCAGGGGCCAGGGAAAGAGGTTACAGGAACCCCAACAGGCAGCGTCTGGCTCTGCTCTGGACCTTCCAGTGTCTATGGGAAAAGCAGAGGGCCCCAGCCCCTGATCTGCAAGCCAGGACACCAGACTAGATAAACCCTGGGGTCTTTTCCAGCTCTGACCTGACAACAGTGTGATGCTATTGGCCGGTCTAGAAGAGCTCTCATCCCCACGCCCTCCTTTAAGGCCAGTGCCTAGCTGATGCAGCCCCCTCTTCCCATAACCCCACAGGGGCCTGAGGATGCTGGTGGCCTTCTGACCTCCAAAGCAGAAGACCTCAGAAGCCTGGGCTCAGATCCTGGCTCTGCTGTTTCTGACCTGGGTGACTTTGGGTGAGCTAGTTCCCTCTCTGGCCATCCTCCGTCCAAGGAGGGGGGCAGACTAAACTCTCTTCGGTCTCTTCCAATGCTAATTCCTAACACTGAGATTTCAAGCATCCAAGGGAGCCACCACGGCCCCGGCCGGGGGGGGGGGGGTGCAGTATGGATAGAGCACCAGACCTGGAGTCAGGACGACCTGAGTTCAAATCTGACCTTAGACACTTACTAGTTTTGTGACCCTGAGCAGGTCATTTCACCTCTGTTTTCCTCAGTTTCCTTATCTGTAAAATGGGGATAAAAATAGCACCTACCTCCCACGGCTGTGAGGATCACATGAGCTAATAATTAATAAAGTGCTAAATAAATATTATTCAGAGGAAGGATGATATTACTGTGCTTGGAACCAGGGCTTGGCACAGTCAGCTCTAGTGGGGGGAAAGTCAGAGCAGGCAGATTCCAACTCAGTATAAAGGCATGTCTCCTAGCAATCACCTGGAGACTGTGAGATGCAGGGTTTGTCCCAGAAGAGGTTGAGTGACCTCTTGCTGGAGGACATTTCAGAGCAAGCTTTTGGGACTGGAGGACTAAAGCCCTTGGTCTTTTCTGAGCTACACCTTGCACCTCTGAACTTCCAAGGTAAATATAACAATGCCACGTTGTTGAGGGTTAGCTGCTGTCCCTTTGGCCTAGGACAACAAGAGATCAAATGCCCCTGGGTCCCACGAAACAAAATAACCTAAGAGCAACACAAGTAACCTAGAAGGGGGTTAGTGAAAGACAGCAGGAGCTTGCTGGATTGAGTAGACTTCTGTACAAGAAAGCTCCCTTGTGGGGGTCGGCCCCCTCTGCGGCAGGAGTACAGGAGCTGTCCTGGGCTGTAGTGCTGAGCCTGTTCCTCAGTGTGACCTTGGATTGCTCCCTTTCTCCAAATGGGCTCACGAAGAGTCAGACTGAAAAACGATCGAGCTGGGGAAGGTCTTTGCCTCCTCCCATGTAGAATGAGAGGATTGGACTCTACGGGTGAGCTTGGGTCCACCCCTAGGTGGACTGAATGAGCTCGTGGAATACACCCAGAGAACAAAGGTAACTGGGTGAGAGGTTCTTCAAACAAGCTTGATCCCCTAAGCCATCTCTTGGGCTTCAAAATTTGAGCTCACAGGACTGCCATGGGTGGCCTGGTGGAAATCAGTCAAGGTACCCAACCAGCATTGCTGCTGCTGCTGTTCAGTTGTGTCTGACTCTCCGTGATCCCATTTGGGGCTTTCTTGGCAAAGATATTGGAGTGGTTCGCCATTTCCTCCTCCAGCTCCCTTCACAGATTAAGGAAACTGAGGCAAACAGGGTGAGGTGACTTGCCCAGGGTCACACAACTAGACGTGTCTGAGGCCAGATTTGAACTCAGGAAGATGAGGTCTTCCTGACTTCAGGCCCAGCGCTCTATCCACTAAGCCACCTCGCTGCCCACGAGTATGGCAAGGGCCCACAGATTTAGTCTTAGCAGAGCGACTAAACTGCAGAAGTCTGGAAGGCACATTGATCATCTGGAGGGCAGTAAAGATGGTGAGAGGGAGGCCTAATGCTCTATGGTCATTGAAGGAACTTGGAGGAGGGAAGAGCTTGTGTGGGTTTGGGAAGACCAATTAAAGCACTCAAGGACTTTCTGAGATGCCAAGTGAAAAGGAGATGAGAGGACCATCTTTTACCTTTCTTTGTATCCCCAGCACCTTCCACAGGGCCTGGCACACAGTAGGTGCTTCATAAATGCTTGTTGGCTGACTGACTGAGAGCTGGAGGGGGGAGGGAAACTACGAGATTACAAGTTAATAGAGAGATTTAAGGGAGGAATAAAAAAAAGTCACAGGGACAGTGTGGGGAAGGAATCAGAGATGCCAAAGGAAAGGATCACAGGTGGGAACCAGAGATCACGGGAAGGAAGAAATGACAGTAGATAGAGATCAGAATGAAGAATGGGAGGTGACGAAGTGATCAGTGTGGAACCATGAGCCATGTAAGGAGTGGGACACTTGGAAAGGCTAACAGCGCATGGCAGATTCTCGTGGAGATCTGGGAGAGACCGCAGGCAGGTGGAAACCCCTGGGAGATCTGAGATAACAAAGAGAAGGGAGTGGGCTGGGCCTGGGGAGGGAGGGAGGGAGGGAGGGAAGAACCGGAGATACCAGAGAGATCAGGGCAGGGATCACCTTAACAAATCAGGAGATAAGGAAAAGAAGCGGGGGAGGTCTCCACTGTCCTGAGGAGATCTGGGGAATGTTGGTGAAGGCTCCCATCCCAGGACTGCTGCCACTCTTTCCTCCAGTTACTTTGTGTCTATGCCCTACATGATGTATGCCTGTCCTTCTTCCTGTGCCCAGAGTGAAAGCTTTCTGAGGGCAGACAGGGGTTTTCTTTGTGTATTCTCAGTGCCCAAGCCCAAAGCAGGCATTTAATAAATGTTTATTACTTGAAGAGCCCCTGGGGAAGAATTCAGAGACCAGAGAAGGAATCAGGGCTTACAAAGAGATCAGAAGGTGATGGCAGAGATTGGAGAGTGAAATCAGATATAGTGAAAGGTCAGGGAGAAACAATAATCAGAGCTCACGGAGAAGACTGATCTCAAGAATCAGAAATCATGGAAAGATCATGATTGGGAGAAATCAGGTGATGGTGTTGGTGGGGGGGGGAAGGGAAGTGGACAGAATCAGATATGGAGACAGAAGGGGAAAAGGATGTGCCACAAGTGATCAAGAAGAGGGCTCAGCAGTCATGGAGACTCTCAGAGCTGAATGGAGTGGCTGGAAATCAGGAGGACCTGGGTTCAAATCCTGCTTCGGACACCAGTTACCATCTGGTGTGACCTTCCTTCACCTTCCTGCCACCTGTACAATGACAGAGATGGCCTGTGAAGTCCCTGCTCTCTCTCAATCCCTAAACCCAAGATCTCGGATCCTTCCCAAGATCTCCTCCTTCCTCGGAAGGAACTAGATCATGGGGACACAGAGGAGAAGAATCAGAGATGACAGAATAAAAAGGTTGAGAAATCAGAGACCTTTGCCCAGAGATAAAGAAAAGGTCAGAGGGAGCAAAGAGAAATCATGGAGAGACTGGAAGAGACATGGGAAACATTCAATCTCCTGGGGGTGATCAGAGATCACGGAGAGACTGGGGAAGACTCCGAAAAGTCAGAGGGTTGTGGAAGAGCACCAGGACCCTCATCTGGCTACTTTCTTGGACAACGTTGGACCAGGTACCTGGACTTCCAAAGCCTCAGTTTCCTCATTTGTTTTGACCTGGATTCTCCCTAAAGATCCACTCCAGCTCAAAATCCCGTGATTTTCTAGAAGCTGAAGGAGCTGTGGTGGGAGGAGCGAAGGGGCTGGGGGGAGATAGGAGGCAGACAAGGGGCCTTGGGATTTGGTGACCTATAGACGTAGACTTAGTAAAAGTCAAGAGATTGAAGGAACGAGAGATTCAACTCGATTCAGGCAACAAATAATGGGGAGGCACCCACTAGGTGCTTCTTGGTCCCCCTGGGTACCAGGGAACTGGAGACCCTCGGGGAGAAAGAAGGGAAGGACCCTGAGATCTTCGGAAGAAGAGAGCAGGCCGTGGGGAGGAGAGAGAGGGATAGGCACAGAGAAGTCGGGCCAGACTTGGGAATGAAGAGTGTGGTGAGCCCTGCGGGAACCCCAAGACAGGCATGCATTGTCCTCGGGAGGCCAGTGGGATGAAGTGAGCAGTGTGGGTGGGAACCCCAGCAGGGGGAGGGAAGCCAAGAGCTTTGAGCTGCTGGACGGCACCTCTTTCCTCGGGCCCCCAGCCCAGCCTCCTCTCCCTCCCCTCCCCAGCTCTCACCTCAACTCAGTGATCACCTCCTGCAAGTCAGGCATCTGGGGTGCCATAATTCCTTCCATGGTGGAGGGGGGTCCCAGCTGACTGACAGAGGGAGGCGGTGGGACAGCCAGCGCTCAGCACGTCTGCTGTTCCCCAGGAGGGCCAAGTGCAGGATGCCTCCCTCTCGCCTGGCAGTCCACTACTGCTTGAACTCAGGTTGGGCGGGGTAAAGCTCAGCCGGTTCCTCTGGCTGCTACCCACGCCATGCCCCGCCCCTGGGCACCTCTGGGGAGGGGTTGGGGCTGGGTATCTCTGAACTGTGCAGAGGCAGGGATGGAAAGGGAGATGGGCATAAGCACCCAGCCTCCAAGCCCCTTTCCCTCCTAGGACCCCAGGCCTCCCCTCTCCTCAGAGACCTCAGAAAGACAGGTCCTCCAACCCCCTCCCCACTCAGGGCCCCAGGGGTCCAGCCCGCTCCTCTCCTGAGTGCTCAGCATCTGCCCTTCCCTGCCCTAGACCCTGCTCGAGTTAGCCTACCCTTTCCAAAGTCATCCCACCTTTGGAGGGAATGCACCTTAAGCAGCTAGGGTAATGTACTGGAACTGGAGTCAAGAAGACCTGAGTTCAAATCTGACCTCAGATGCTCTGTGACTCTGGACACAGTCTGCCTCAGTTTCCCCATCTGCCAAGTGGATATGACAATAGAATCTACCTCCCAAGGTTGCTGGGAGAATAAGATGAGATAATACTTGTTAAGTACTCTGTGTAAATGCTACTATTACGGAGGAATCTCTGAGACCTCTGGTAGACATTTTGGGGAGAGGGGCTTCTGGGATCCTGAGGAATCAAAGGGGGCACTGTGGGTAATGGAGGAAGGACCCAGGTGTCAGGACGCCAGGCAGCAAACGCTTCCCTCCCTGCCCCGGGGCCTGGGCCCAGTGCCCCGCTCCTTCTCAGTTAGTCAGCTGGCCCTCCCGGTCTATTTCCCTGTTCTCTGACTCTATCATCCTTCCTTCAGGTCTCCTCCCCATCCTCCCCCAGTCAGGAATCTCCCGACGATGAGGGTAGGAGGAGGAAACTGAGGTACAGGGAGTGCATAGGTCTGTGTCGCCAAAGGAAGCTATGGACCTCACCGACTCCAAATCCCCAGCTCCCTGAGGGAGCCTGAAGACCTCTCTCTAAGAGAGTGGAAGAACTTGGATCCCCAAAGGAAATGGGAGGGGGGTGGTTGGAATTGGGAGCTGGAAGGCGGGGCTGCCAGGGTGGAGAAAGAGGAGGGGGCAGAGTGGGGGAGCCAGGCTGAGGAAATAGAGAACCTGGGCTCCCCAGAGGAGGCGCGTTAGGGTGGGGACAGGCTGCGGGCAGGCCCTCCAGCCCCGAACCCCCCCCACCCCCGTGTCCCAGGGAACACATCACCTCCACCCTTTGCGCCCTGAGGGCCAGCGCTAGACGAGGTTGTGCAAAGACCCAGCGAGCACAGTCAGCCCTCCCAGCCGCTGGGGGAGGGGAGCCCGGACACCGGGGCATCTGGTTCTTCAGCACCCCCTCCCCCAGTCTTGGATCCCCAAGGGAACAAATGTGTGGAGTCATTCCCCCCACTCAGCGCTTAGACCTTCAGATCAGGTCACAGGTCCAGGCTTGCCTCCGGCCGCATCCTCGGGCCTCTGCCCTACAAGCCACTAATCGTCCAGTCCATCCCGGGATGCAGAAGGTGGGCTGGGGCCAGGGATCGGCAGGTTCCTGGGTCCCTGCCAGGGCTGGCACCCAGCATCTCCAGGATTTGGGGGAGGTGCTATGGGGTCCAGATGCCCCAGTGAGTGCCCAGGTTGGGGAGGCCTGAAGGTAGGCCTCCTCCACCCTGGCAGGAGGTCCTAATCGGCAAGGGCATCAAGGGGTGTGGGCCCTCGCAGAAACCTTGCATCCAGATCCCCACCCCTATTACTCCATACTCCATGGGGATCCTGCCTCAGGCCCGATACTGGGCCTGCCCCAAGCCGCACCCCAGATGCTGCTCTGCCTGCTGGATGCCTGGACAGAGGGCTCCCGAGGGTGGGGTGGGGAGTGGTGCTGAGGAGGGGCTGGCACACAGCTTCCCAAAGGGAAGGAAAGCCTGTTCTGTTTTGTCACTTCCGCTGTCCCTGTCCCTCTCCCCACACCCTCACCAACAATGGGGAGACCTCATCCTTCCATCCTGTCCTAGCCTCCTGTCCCAGCCTTCTGTCACCAGAGTCTTCCAACCTTCTCCTGAACAGGAAGCCACCCCCAGCCTGGGAGTCAGGGGTCTGGGCTTGGATCTGCGGCCTCGGCAAGCCCCTTCCTCCTTGGGGTCCCCTAGAAAGGGAGGTGCCTGGCCTCGGTTATGTCAAAGGCTGCTCCCTGGGGAGATGCCACGTTTGGCCCTGGGTCACCTCGGCGCTAATGATCTGCCCGGCTACCAAATGACCCTGCCACTGTTCATTCATTCATTCATTCATTCATCCAAGGTTGTTGAAGGTTTTACTAAAGCACCCACTATGTGCCAGTCTTCCCTTCCATCTCTGTATCCCACCATTCCTGACTCAGAGGAGGTCCCTAAGAGATGTCTGTCAATCAACCGCAGGGTTTGGAGTCCAAAGACCTAGCTCGGGGTCCTGCCTCCGCTACTCGTAAGTTGCATGAACAAGTCAGTCTCTTTTGCTACGTGTGCCTTAGTTTCCTCATCTGTAAAGTGCCGCCATCGGAGACTGTCAACTACCAAATCCTACAGTCTCGCCATATTTTGTGTCTCCTTCTCTCCAGTTCTCTCTCAGACCTGCCCTGGTCTCTGTCTTTCTAGGCCTATGATCTGGTATCTTTGCCTACATAGCACAGCCAGGCTTTACACAGCCGAAAAGGGCCCTGGAGACCTGGGGGGGGGGGGGCTTTGCAGACTGCCCCTCTCCCCCTCCCTTCTCCTTTCACTGCCTGAGTTTCTTGGGGGAGGGGAGAAAGCCGGGGGCTTGGGTTTGGCTCCCAGCCCTCCCCTCTGCTCCTTGGGTGACCTTGGGCAGAGCTGGCCAGGCCCTCCAAATGAACGGGTTTGATGGGAGGATTCCTGTCAGCTCCAAATCTGATAATAGCTGCCATTCATACAGCATACAGAGTGTTACAGACATGACCTCATCTAAGACTCACAACGCTCCTGGGAGATGGGTGCTATGATCATCATCCGGGTGTTAAAGACGAGGAAACCGAGGCTCCAAGGCTTCCAAGGTCACATGGTTAGGAAAGGTGAAGCCCAGCTGGGGAGTGTGAGGGAGCTTGGTCCATCTGCCTCCTGTCAGCCTGACTTTCCACATCACCCCAGAAGCAAAGGCCTGAGTCCTTTGAAAGCTCCTATTTTATGAGTGGGGGGCTCTCTGGAGGCCCGGAGAGGGGCAGGCCCTGAACCCCAGGTCCCAGAGCGAGGCCCAGAGCAGAGCCTACCCCATCATGGCAACCCAACCAGCCAGAATGCCACTCCTGTTGTGGGCCAAGCCCTCTGTCATGGCCCCAGGAAGCAATGGCCCAGCCTGGGGCCTTATTTGAGGGGGAGGGGCAGTTTACAAGGGAGAAGGACCCAAATGGGGGGGGCCGGCTCTGCCCCCTCTTTTCATCTCTGGGTGGGGAGACTTTACGGCTAACCCCCTCCCCCCAGCACTCCTTTCTGGCCCCATTCCCATTTCTGTTGCAATGTGAGGCTTGGGGACTGCTTTGGTGACCAGCCCAGGCAGGGACAGAGGAGGAGAGTAAGGTTCCCAGAGGCACCCTGCCATGGCCCTGGCCACACACACACAGACACAGATACACATGAAGAGATTTACCTTTGCCCCTTTTTTGCCAAAAGGAATTTGGCTCCTTGTTTACAGTTCCCAGAAAAACCTTAAAACTTTGAGATTCCTTGTAGACTCACGTTATCTCTCTTAATTTGAAATCTTATTCAAATGTGCTTTCCTTCCCGGCCCCAAAAAGAACCTGGCTTCTGTTTGTCTCTCTTTATCTCCATTTGAAAGGAAACTTCCCCCCTTTCAGCTCCCTTCAGTATCTATTCTCATTGTTTATTACCTTCCAAACGGACCCAACCAACCCCCTTCCTCTGGCCCCTCTTAATCCTAGCCAGGCGCCACAAGGTCCAGGACCCAGGTGTTCTGCTCATCCCAGCTTACTAAGCCACTCCCATCCAGATCTCCTTAGGCCCCTCCTCCCGTCACCCCAAACTACTTGGCCACTCCCAAGATCCCTCCCCCCAATCTTTCTGTACTTAAGACTAGCCTTTCCCCCATTCTGATGCTGAGCTGTCCTCAAGCCTAGAGGCTGAGGCTCTTGCCTGCTCGTCCTCACGGGATTCATGTGGCCTATCCACCCCAGGCCCCACTCAGACGCTGAGCTTTCCTCACACCCAAGAGGTTGAGACTGCCTCAAGCCCCACCTGACCACCTTAACCCCCATTTAGATCACTGATGTTTGGGTTTCTTGGAAGTCTGGCCTATATGCATTATCTCTAATAAACTTTTTCTCTGTCTGGAAGAAGATCTGAGTTGAATTTATTCAGCCAGATCCATACCATGATCTGGGCTTTTTCCCGCGATCTTGTGCTGCCTCTGTGCATCTAGGAGCACCCCAAAACCCCCACTCTCTTCATATGGTTCCCTGACCGGGAAAATTGCCCATCTCAGACTTCTATGGCCATAACAGTACGTAAATCCCCCTCTCCCCAGTTCCCCATTGTGTGTAACGGGGAGGGGGATTTTCTAAGCAGCTAGCTAGCCTTGCCGTGGAACTGCTTTTCGGACCTGACCTCTTGGGTTCTGCTGGAACCTCCGCCTGTGATGCTCTCAGGCTTCCCGTCCAAGTGTTTCTGTGTGAACGCTAGGACCTAGGTATACCATCCCTGGCACAGTGGACAGACCCCCTGTCAGGAAGCGTATGGTCCGGTTCTCTCGGCACTAGGGAATTGAGAAACTGTTGGATTTTTTTTTCCTTTTCTCTTTTTTTTTCTTTTTTTTTTCTCTTTTTCTTTTTCCCTAAGCCCACCATGGGTCAATCTTCTTCAATTCCCAAGAATTCACCTTTGGGCTGCCTTTTACAAAATTGGAAAAATTTTAGCTTTTCTAAAGGACTTAAAAAGAAAAAGCTGGTGTATTTTTGCAACACCATTTGGCCTCAGTATCACCTGGAAAATTATGAGGCATGGCCCCTTTTTGGGACATTA